GTTTGTTGTGTTGCATATACTTTGTTCTTGAGATAACCCCACAAAAAATTAAAAGGCGTAAGATCTGGCAACCTAGCTGGCCGCTCACTAGTCCCCTTCATTAAATCCACTTAATTTCACTCAAGTAATTTCGTAATTTCACTAGAAGATTTCACTCAAGTAATTTCTCACCATTCAAGCATAATGGGGTGTTGCACCGTCCTGCTGGAACCAGACAGTTTCATGCGGTAGGGTCAAATTTATTATATTGGGATATAAGTTAGCCAACTAAGGAAGAACTTTGTCTCTTGGCATGTTTAAATATTTTCCCGCTGTCAAATTATCATCTATAAATATAGGACCAATAATACGATCTCCTATAAAACCTGCCCAAACATTCAACTTTTGAGAATACTGAGTGTGTGTCTCACGCATCCAATGAGGCGACTCCGCTGACCAATATCTACTGTTTTGTCAGTTTACCTCACCGTTCAACGTAAATTTTGATTCATCAGAAAAAAGAATTCTGCCAAGAGCTATTTCATTTGTTAATTTTATCCCTCATTCTTTTGCAGAAATCCATTCTACGATCCGGATCGTCTTCTGTTAGCTCTTGCACAAATGTCAATTTATATGGATGAAGTTTTCTTCATGGAGACACCTTAGGACAGTTGTGTGACTCACATTATTTAGACGTGAATTTTGACGTGAACTTGACGTTGGATTCTCTGCGACACTTAACAAAATATTCACTTTCACTTCATCTTCAATGAAGTTTGATTTTCTTTTTAATGGTTTGACATATCCAAGTTCTCTGAATTGTACATAAATTTTAGACACAGTACCTTGTGAAATATTAGGCAACTGAGGATACCTCTGATTAAATGAGTTTGCTACTTCATCTCGACTTCTACAATTCTCCCCGTAACCGATCATCATTAAAAACTCAATTCGGTGGGCCTTAGTTAAATAGTTCATTTTTAATTCTGCAAGAAATTAGTTTTTAATTAAGAATTTATCATTTTAATGTAAAATGTCAACAACATGTCAACTGATTGATAACAATCCGCATTATTTACCGATTTAGTTTAATTAGCAACCTATCTATACCATGGACGTATAAACATAGATGGACACAGCAATAAGATACCTTTAACACACAATTTTTTAAAGCTTCCATAAAATGTGATGCTTCCGCAATAAGCATAAGCGTGCTTGAAATTTTACTCGCGGGTAATTATTCAGATTTTAAAAATTGGAAGTAAAAATAATGTATAAAAAACACGTTCAAAGAATTTAAAAAAACGAGAGTTTAACTATTAACAAATGACGTCTTTATAGAAAAATTAAAATACAATTTTATTTGCTTTAAAATTAATACAATAAAATTTAGTTGAATTCAAGTTAATTTTTAATAGGTATCATAATAATGCTACAATAAAAAATCTTTATGTTTTCTCCTAAATTTGCTACCAAAATAGTTCGATCGTCAATATTATTTGGAAACCTACATAGAAAAATAAATGAGTTTGATGCATTTCACTAATTTATTTGCATCCATGAGAAATATTAAATTAAAAAGGTACTAAACAGATTTTTTTAATCAGATGATGTCTACTTACAATTTTAAAATGTCTACTAATTTCATGAACTTATATCTTATTCAATACATTAATGAACATGAATAAACCCAATGGTACGCCTATTAAAATGTAAACAAACACGATTCCTCATTTCCTCATCTTAAATAATGTAAATTGTATGTACTTACAAATGAAATGAGAGATCGGGGTGTAAATATTTCGTTTATTTTATTTCAATTTTCATAAATATCACTCAAAATACAGCCAAAATATCGAAAAACAACTTTTACTAAAAAGTAAACAAACATGGAACAGCATTTGAAGTTTGACGTAGATCCATAAGACAGAGACATGTAAACAACCGTTGCCATTTATAAATAGTTTTCAGTGCTTCTACGTATAAAATAATTGATTGATATCTATTATACGCTATTATTAAAATGATAATGCACACTATGTGCACACTTTATATTTTGATTACAATTAAATATATTAATCTAACCAATAAATTATTATTTTGGTTTGATAGCACCTGTAGAGTAAAAAATACGGAGTAATATTACTCGCGAATAAGAAATTTTAAAACAAAACGTGACAACAGTTGAAGGTGCTGAGAATGTGACCTATTCAAATAATTTTGACTTCACAATTTTATGTAAATAACTGAGTCCATCTGTGTTTATACGTCCATGATCTATACAGTTTTTACCTATTCACGACAAAAAATGTTAACACGGTTACTAAACAGAAATTTTCCCCAATGTACAGTGTACTGACACTTAGAGTAGAAGTTTATTGTCTGTATTTAGCTAATTTAAAATAATACCATAACACGTGATAAATTAATAATTTCAAAATTTCACCTTGTATTATTCATTATAGACCCTACATGATATAGTTCATTAAAATCAGGTTGTTAAAAGTATTTTAAAACTTTTAACAACCTGTCTGACTATGCCAGACTTGCGTGGATCACCCTGTACATTAAAACTTATATTTAAAAAATGCACATTTAAATTTAAAAGTTAACGTGTCTCAGAGTGTTTGATTATTTTTTATAATAAGGACACAAACAATTTTATTCCATAAGTGGTTTCCACACTGTATATTCTTAATATATCTACCAGCCACTCATGCGGCATTTAGTCAAAGAGATTCTTATAATCAATAAAGGCACTAAAGAGGTTCTTTTTTTGTGTATGCCTGGTTAGAAATGACTGAGTCGATAATAAGTTGTTCTTTGCAATCCATGGAACCCTCAGCGCATCCTTTCTGTTGAGGTTCCATGATAATGTTTAGAGCTTATTTATATTATTATTGATATTATTACTCTTACTCTTAATATTATCTCCAATTATCTCCAAAGTGAAGTAATGTACGGACTATTTTCGACAACATTTTCCTGATCGGTGGGAAAAACTAACTTCCGATGCAATCAATTCCTCTAAGGAACAACGAATATCTTTTTATTATCAAACATTAATTACAAACATTTATTATTTGCATTACATTAAAGATTTTGCATTTTTGTGCATTACGCAGTAGATTTATTTGTATTTCCTTTCTTTGAAATTCATTCGTCTGGTGATTCAGTTATTAAATACATTTTGTTTTGTTTACCTAGTAAATTTTATTTATCTACTCCTAAGTTTCCTGATAATAGAGTATCTCTGAATATTTACTAATAAAAATATTTAACTATCACGAGATCTTCGACCAGGAGAAAGATCAGGCTGTATGTGTTTGTAGGTAAGTAGGTGGACAAATTCCACCGAACATATTATTTATTATTTGTTTATGTTGTGTGTTGACCACCTTTATGTAATAATTAACTGTTAATTTTTTTTCTTGTATTTGGTCCTAGAACCTAATTATCTTTACTTATCTCTTTTTGTTTCTAAGGTTTCTTTGTTTTCCCCTTGCCACTCCAAAAAGTTAAGTGGCGCCTTTTTTCTTACCTTCTCTTATCGTTGGTAATTTTACCTATCTCTCTTGTTATCTATTTTTCTATATTTTCTGATCGATCTTATTTTTATTATTTCTTCTGTTGGATCCATTTCCGGTTCCAAAAGCTAGTTTCGAACCCCCGACTTGCCCTCGTGTCTCCATTGGTGGCCTTTCTAGCACCTTCCAAAAAAGGTTTTCTTGGCTACAAGTTAATAGTTGGCATTGTGTAAAAGTTAATTTAAAGTATTGTTATATTGTTGGTGTTTGAATAAAGTGTTTGAAAACATAGCAACATTATTTATCCATGACTTTCTCTTAATAACTGCCACTTCACTAGATCGATCATTTTTCAACAAATATTTATGGACGGTATTTGGAGGTTTTACTTTATAATTAACATAAAAAAACACTAACAGCAATGGATAATTGCACATAATTAGATACATTTTAGAATAAAATTCGTTTTGAGATGTTCATTTGAAAAATGTAAATTTTAAAAGTTTCACTAGGAAACTAAGTTCCTGTAGCTGGCTGTATACATATATCACAAAAAATTTATTTAAAATCCTTTATAAAAGGTATATAATAAAATGCCCAAACGGGCTATGACAAAGATATTGCAAAACGTTTTCGGATTATTAAATCCATCATCAGTGCAAACGAGGTATACATGCTATGAGCCACCAAAATATATGGGTCCAAACCCTTTAAATGATATAAATTTACATTTGCTTTACATTATATGTGGTTACAAATTATGATGTTTAAGTTACCGTTGGAATTGGTAACATGGCGACGTATGACCCTACATAGGTAAAATGGTCCTGAGACGAAGTGTCTTCGACTGAGTTCAGTTGTTATCAACAGGTCCTCGAAGACACTTCGTCTCAGGACCATTTTACCTATGTAGGGTCATACGTCGCCATGTTACCAATTCCAACGGTAACTTAAACATCCTAATTTGTAACCACATATAATGTAAAGCAAATGTAAATTTATATCATTTAAAGGGTTTGGACCCATATATTTTGGTGGCTCATAACATGTATACCTCGTTTGCACTGATGATGGATTTAATTATCCGAAAACGTTTTGCAATATCTTTGTGATAGCCCGTTTGGGCATTTTATTATATACCTTTTATAAAGGATCTTAAATAAATTTTTTTTTAAAGTTTGTCTAAAAGTGTGTTACTATTAAGCATGCACCTGCAATATACTACAGTCACTTACAAAATAGGTTTTAACCAAATATACGACATTTGTAATAAAACAAAGTGCAGTAGCCTTTTCTTTCTGATTTTACTTAAAAAACAAGCAGAAAAATATCTATAAAAATGTCAACCAATATTATCTTTGTAAAAACCATCCAAAAATGTGGCTTACTACAATATTATGCAACATGAATAAGCAAAAAAATAGTCTTACTATTGATTTTTCCTTATACCACATAAAATATGTTACCACATTAAAATTAAAATTTTAATTTTAGCTTCACCTGGCGAAGCTTTTGCGTTTTTAGATCTTATTTTGGAAAATACTAAATTCTCTGAGCAAGAACTACTAGATGAAGTCAAAACATTTTTGGCTGCAGTAAGTAACATTTATTTATATTATTGTTAGTTTATATGCAATATACATGTGATACACATCTTCACCCTTACTGAACACTGTGGGATCATACAGCAGCCCATGAACATCGGCCAATTCCAGTTTTCTCTATAAAATCCATCGTTTTTGCTTCGCTTTCTGTATCGGTATTATCTGGGTTAAGATATTGTTCAAATCAGCCTTTGTATTATTACAATTATAAATCATTACAAAATATGGTACTCAAACGTTTTAAAAGAAAATCTGATTTACAGATCGAGTTCTGCAAGGTAAAAATAGTGTGCCTCTTTAAGGTACGGATATAATACCCAATTTAGAACAAAAAGCTCTATAACATTTTTTTCTAACGTTAACCGTTTCAAAAAATACATTGTTTTCCACATATGCGAATTTTTAATTTTAAAAAAATTAATAATGAATCGTACGCAGTGAAAGCACTTCATAAAAAGAACTCTTTTGTGACTTGGGCCATTTAACATAATAAAACAATTGTACTAATGAATTATATTATTATTTTAAGGTTATTGACGTCACATGAAATTCTCTATTACTTTCCGTCAAAATAATTGCATTTTATGCTGTTTCCTACTTGGATTTTGGATAAGGTTTCGGTATCGTGGAAATTGAATTAATTAAAATGTTAAGTTTTGGACTTGCTTCACGAGTTTTTTTAGTAGGCCTAGTGGGTGTAGTAGGCATAGGGAAACTCTCTTTAGGACTAGGTAGTTCAGGCCAGATTATTTCGTTCTCTACATTAGCTTCTGTTGTAGACCTAAGTGGTTCCTTGTTTGTCCCATAAGGCTCTTCATTTTCACCATCTACCCGTTTCACTGGCTTCATGGCCATTTAAATGTTCAAGCGCACAAAAGTCATGATCTTACTTCACTAGTTCGAAAACCATTGAATGCAATTTTAATACTTGCTACTCTCCCATAAGCTCCAGAAATCAAGCCAGCTACGTGTACTTATAACACGTATTCCGGGGTTAGAATGAAGCCACTTCTCAACTAATTGAATGTAGTAGCCTTTAAATGACTTAAAGAATGATGTATCCAAAGACTGCACGTTATGGGTCGTATGCCCAGGTAATTGTAACATTATTACACCGTGCTCTCTAGCTCGTAAAATTGCTTCGATTCTTTAAGTGCGTTGTATGCCCATCCAGTATCAAAAGAACTTTTTTCTACTGTCGGGTTTACAGAATTAATAAAATGCTGGAGCCATTTTACAAACAGATCACTAGTAATGTAGCCTAATTCTGATATTTCAACCATAGTTCCTGGTGAAGCACCAACCCTTAAATCATTGGTTATTCGCATACGCTTAAATATAACCATAAGTGGAACGTAAATTCCTAAAGCACTTGCACAGCAAACAACTGTCATGTTGCCAAGTTCTCCACTGGACACTGACCCAACTTGCCTTTTAAAAACTTAAACTAAAAAGACGTAAACATTGCTTTTATTGAATCCTTTTGTGCGCATTATGGCCGTTGATTGAGGTTCTCTTAATGAGATTTTGTCCTTATGACGAGCTTTGAAAGCATAAAACCACATTTTTCCTGCCATTTGGGATTATTTATTAAAATTATCTGGTATTTGATTTCTCTCGATGATTTGAAATGCAAGCCATCGAACATCATTGATCGTGAGGCCAATCATCAACATCTCCAGTTTTAAAATGTTATCAACTAGCTCCTTCTTCACCGTTGTTGGTAACACACTGCCTCAGCCAGAAGCATTCGTTTCTTCATTTGACTTGATATTAGTAACTCCATGCTGCCTTAAGCATTCATTTAATCCCATGTCTCCATTATGAAATGATTGAAGAACCCGGCTCATGTCGCCAAATTCCAAGTCCCATATTTTCCTTTTGGCATCTAAAACTCGCAATAAAGGTGTGTGTTATTTATTTATTTTTAAAAATAAGTAGGTCTTAAATACCTTATTTGGTATTTAAAATTGTACCGGTAAAATATAGGCAACTTGCCGTGGTACAATATGGGAAAGTTGCACTGTATGTAATTAAAGTACGATTCCTAATCCTACGAATCAAAATGGTTTGCACATGTCTTTGTAAGTTGCTGTAACCTTTCGTATGGAACTAGAAGACTATGCTGAAACACCATGAAATATAAAAAATTCGATAAAACAAAATCGACATATATGAACGTTGTAAAACTTCAGCACTCAACTCTAGGTAGTAACTAACTCCACTAAACGACGTAAGAGCGCTCTGGCTTCCTCATAAAGAATAAATATACAGCAGTGGTATAATATTGGCGCCGGTACAGTTTTTGCTAATTTTCCCTATATGTCAATACTTCTTTTTCAGGGTTCGCGCTAGTGTAAGTGACGGTTAATTATCATTTTTATCATAGTTATTGTCTTGACCCACGATTAGTTTACCGTGAGATATATTTGCTATAAAATATGATTTTAATAAATTAAAATAATATACGACGACAATTTTCATCGAACTATTTATTGCTTACTATACATGTTTACAGAACTGAGTTTTCTTCGATACTACTAAAAATACATTACAAATGTCTAACAGAAATCCCTGGTAGTGAAAAGGGCGTTACTACGAACTTTTTTAATTTTACCTTGGGGTAAAAACGTAAATTAGAAAATCATTCATACTGTCCTACATCAGAATCATAAACAAACGCAGCGGATGAGACAATAATAGACGATGGATTTGCCGAGTACATACTTTCTAAAGGAAGGGATTATAATGGACAAATTTTCCACAGAAATATGTAAAACTAATAAATATTTTATTCTTTTAATAGATTTCTGGAAACTAAAATTACCCAAAACTTTAAAAATTACAACTATGAATCTAAATAAAAAAAAAATCGAAAAATAATATGAACTAAGTTATAATGAGACGGAACAGTAATTATCTTTTTTTTTTTTTCATTAATGATAAATGCCACACTATCTGGTTTTTTATTTCAAAAACATACACACATTTTTAAGTAAAATATTTTTAAAACTGTTTTTAAATCCATTGAAAACTACAGTAAAACAAGATATTTCATTTCAATATCCATAAGATGGTGACATTCAATTTACTACTCAAAGTTCTCATATTTGGTATACATACAATACACTATTGATTTTATTTTATTGAATTTCTGACATTTTTAGGGCACTGATACAACAGCGTCTACTCTTTGCTTTGTTTTTACTATGCTCGGATTGTTCCAAGATGTACAGGTAAATAAAGCCTTTTTGATTGTATTTTTGATATCATTTTTATTTCTAAAAATAATCGTAATTTTGTTAAACACAACTTCTGATTTATGTCAAGTAAAACATTTAAAATAGTTCAGTTGTCCTTAATAAAAATAGTGAGAGAGAAACTGCAAGGTTAACAGAAATATATTTACTACACTAGAGATAAACGTACTATAATAATAAATGTTGACATATAAAATTTTTATTCAAATCATGAATATGTTGCTTGTGTGAGTCCATTTCAAATAGGTAAAGAAATAATAAATCAGACTTACTCACAATCAATTTAATTTAACTATCAGACGACCGGTTTCGCTTTCTACAATATGCAAAGCATCCTCAGGTCTCGATACAAAGTTAAACAAATGCTGAAATAATAAAAACCCATATTAGGGTGTTGTCTAATAACGATAACGATGACGATAACGATAACGATAACGATAACGACGTATCTAATGATATCGTTATTAGACAACACCCTAATATGAGTTTTTATTATTTCAGCATTTGTTTAACTTTGTATCGAGACCTGAGGATGCTTTGCATATTGTAGAAAGCGAAACCGGTCGTCTGATGGTTAAATTAAATTGATTGTGAGTAAGTCTTATTTATTATTTCTTTACCTATTATCTGTAATAATTTTAGGTTTTTTCATGAAAAACTCGATTCATGAAAAACATCATTAAATATACTAATCACTCTGGTCTTAATTTGTTTAATTAAGTTTACTTTCATTAAGTGTTTATAGTAGGATAGGTAATGTAAGTATCTGCCCGATACAGCAGGTTTTCTATACCAGTCAACCATGATGTTGTTTGTTCTTATTAATGTTGTATCGAGGAAAGGAACAGATTATTCATTGTCCTCTGTATCAAGTGTAAACTTTATATGTGGGTGACAGCTGTTGAATACAAATAATATGTCGTCAATTTTATCTTTGGGAACTGCCAGGATGTGGGTAATACGCAGAATAAATAACGATACAGAAGTTATCATGAATATAAAAAAGACAAAACTTGAATACTTAGGCCACCTAATGAGAGGACAAAAGTACACATTCCTACAAAATATAATGCAAAGAAAAATCCAAGAACGCAGCAATCCAGGCCGTAGAAGAATGTCCTGAATGAGAAATTTAAGAAAGTGGTTTGACTGTACCACTAACGAATTATTCAAAACAGCAGTAAATAAAATTAGAAGGCACTCAAAGAAGAAGAAGGATGATGTCAGCAACATACTTTTTGACAAAAATCAAATTAAAGGATGAGACTGGGATCACTATGTCGATAAGAGGAAAGAATTGATGAAAATTTCCTTCGCCCATAGGTGATCAAAAGAAAGATTGTATTATTCTATTGTCAAATGAAAAATAAGTATTGTCGAGTAAGAAGGTTACTAATTCTAAGAAAGTTTCAAGGTATATTTTATCTACTTTCATTTTAACGCCATTTCTCTACGTAAAGGGCAAAACAGATAGTGTTTTTCAAGGGTGAACTGTTGATATATCGTCGTCGTGGATGTGAAGAGAGCTAACCCACATTTTCTTAAAAATGATCTAACTGCAGCATCGCAATCACAAAGAAAGATTCCATATTGTAGTGAAGAGATCTAATTGAATATGTTGTTTCAAATGGTTTATATTCTAAAGTGTGAAAGGACGCTAAGTGAGTTCACAATCCTTATTTTTTGGAGTGAAGTGATCCATGCCACTTACCACCACCGGGTACTGAATATATTTTCAGTGGGGAACAGAGCTATCAGATGCTTGAGCTTAGTCTGCAAATAACAACAGACAGATAAATTATTATGATACAGTCGATTAGTCACCTTATCGTTAGCTGGAGTTTGCTGTTTCAGCAAAGTCTCACGGTACTCAATATTGTAACAAGTATTAAATTTATTTTATTTGAAAGCTTCTTTGTCTGGGGGTAGTTATAATTGTAGTAAGTAGTTTTATTATTATATAATATAATAATAATATAATTTATATACAATTTTTATGGAATTGAGCTTAGGTTTAAGACAAGTGGATGTATGTGTACGATCTGTAAATGATAATAATATTTCTGATTGCGTACATTGATTTGAGTGTAAGATCTCTTTGCAAAGAAAAATTTAATCAAATTAAAAACGTATAATGTCGTATTCATCACGTGGAAAATTAATGGTGGAGATGGTTAATTCGAAAACGAATTTACTGACGACTACACATGAAATTTAGACAGGTAAGTTATTTATCTAATAATAATATATACGTTTATTTAAATCGGTAATTTTACAATAAATAGTGTTTCAATAAAATAGTAAAAAATAGTTAAAAGTAAATAAAATAGTGTTTCAATAGAATTTTCATAATTTAAAGTTAATTTAATTTAATTTAAAGATAAACTGACGAGTTTTATTATTTATTTTTTATACAACTTTGTTAGCTATACAAATAAAAATTTGTAATATTTTTAAAGTTTATTGGCAATACTAATATAATATGATTAAACAGCGGTATAGTTCGATGTAAAAATAACATTATTTTGAATGTAAACTTCACTTATGTGCACTTATCAATTGTTTTGTTTTTAGGTGACTCAAGCGAAGAAGATCCTTTTGCTAGTTTTGACTTAGACTTGGATCCAATATACACACCTGGTAGTTCAACTGAAAGTACTTCAGACAGCAGTCAGTCTACAGTAGTGTCCTCTTTACAGAACATCTCGGAGCTAGGTCCTTCTTCAGGCCAGATTATAAATAATAATACAGAAACCGTATCTACATCTACGTCACGTAAACGCAAAAGGCTTCCATCAACTTGGAAACGCAATCAACAAAGAAGCCTCAGACTTTCTGGGAAGAAACAACTTTCTCAAAAAGGTAATATTGTTAAAGTAAAATCTGTTAAACTCTGTAATTGTAAATGTCACTATAGGTGTACAGAAAAAATTAGCTAGGAAAAGAGGCAAAAATTATTTTTGATGATTTTTACTTCATTCTAGATGAAAGAGGAAGATGAGCTTTATCAGCAGTAGAATTACGAAAAAAATACCTAATCGGCGATATAAATCAAATAATGAAGATGCCGCCTCTAGACGCAAATCCACCATTTAAGGTTGGATGACGAGAACATCCAAGTTTGTAAACATGACAAGTATGTAAAAAGTTTTTTCTGCGTTCATTTGATAACTCTGGAAAAAAAATTGAAACGGCACTAAAAAAGTCAAAGTCGTCAGGTATCATAGAGGAGGACAAGAGAGGTCGAAAATTCCCCCTAACAAAATCCCAGATAATCAAAAGGAGGTAGTACGTAATCACATCAAATCATTACCGGTGATTGATTCTCACTATTGTTGAAGTTCAACCAAGAGAAAATACTTGCCTTCTGGTTTATCTGAAAAAACGACTTTACCAGGATTATTTAAAATACTGCGAAGAATATCAGGAAGATTCAGTGTCGTTTTATTATTATAAACATATATTCACCACCGAATTTAACTATGGTTTCCACAAACTAAAAAAAGACCAATGTAGCTTTTGCACGCAATTCGCAAATAAAACCGAAGACGAAAAAGAAAAACATCAAGATGAATACAATCTACATCAGTTTCGAAAGAAGGAGGCTAGAGAGCATAAGAAAATTGACAAAGATCGTGCTAAAATTGATACTACTTTCAGCACCTTCACTATGGATATAGAAAAGCTTTTATCGACTCCTCAATTAGAAGTGGGACAATTATATTATAAACGGAAACTAAAATCCCACAATTTTGCTGTGTATAATCTTAAAACTACTGTTGCTATTAACTACATGTGGCATGAATTGAATGGTACAAAAGGATCATCAGAAGTAGCTACATGCTTATGGAACATGCTGTCTGAGCGAGCTACTATCTGAAGTTAGTACAGTAACATTTTATTCTGATACTGCAACAGCTCAAAATAAAAATTCCATTTTATCTGCAATGTTTATAAAAGCTTTGTCTTCTTTTGATAATTTAGACATTATTAGTCAAAAGTTCATGGAATCCGGACATTCCGAAATGGAATGCGACAGCGTTCATTCTGCAATTGAAAGTAGGGGACGGAAAATAAAGTGCCTGACGGGTGGTACACGGTGGCAAGAATAATCAAAGTAAATCACACCCTATACGTCGTTAAGGAATTAGATTACACCCATTTTTTAGATTTTAAAACTTACAGCGAAAAATTAATTATTAACAAAACGAAGACAGTCGATGGCCTTGATATAATCGAACACATTGATATAATCTTCTTTAAAAACACAACTTAGTCAGGTAGACTTCAAACAATTGTGCATTCGTATAAACACTCGAGTTGACAACAATGATTTCAGTGAGGTTCCAAAACTGTATCCTTCGGCTTTAGGAATAGAGCCTAAGAAACTAAAAGATATACAAGATCTTTGTGGGTCAGGTACTATCCCAACCACTTACCATGATTACTACCTTCGACTTTTAAAACCAATAGAGAAAATCTCTGCACACGATTCGGAATCTAAGTAGCGATAAAATAATAGGATTTCTGTATAATGTTCAATGTTAAATAATATTCAATGTTAAAGACTAAAACCTAAATTAAATCTCTCATACTTTTGTGTTATTTTTGTATCTAAAATTAAACATTTTAAGCACAATACCACCTTGTATTATTTAATTTTGTAGAATTAGATCTTTTCACACAACAAAAAACAGTATGATTTGTAAAAGTTATCTAGTGGTGAATGGAGCTAAGTGAACGAAACCCTTCCAACCTCATATAAATCAATGTTTCATCAGTGTTTGGTTTAGTACAAAGTAGGTAACACTTTGTTTGATAAATCCTAAAAAAAATTAGAAATAGTTCAATGAACAGAAAAGTTATAAGCTAAAATGTATTTTTTCCTGGACATGGCAATCTAAAATGCTCATTATCTCGAAACTGACTTTTGTTGGTTAGCTCTCTTCACATCCACGGCGACGATATCTTGGAGTAAAAGGTTATTCCTAGCGTCGTTTAACAACCTTCAGTAAGAGGCTTTAAATTTGTGGTACACCTAATTTGCTATCAAAGAGAGGTCTCCCGACTTCTTGTTACTTTGTATAGATACCACTACTAGCATACCAGGCTGTTATTTTAATTATAATGGCAAAAAACTAGACTGAATTTCATTTGAGTTTGAACTTCCATTAGTGTTAGAAATCAAATTGAAATGAAAGGCAATCTTTTACTTTCATAATTGGGAGACATAAGCATATGAAGTCACCATTAGTGTTTGGAAATTTTTTTTCTCAAAATAAAAAAAAAATAAAAATGAAATAGTACTACATTGTAAATTATTAAAACATATTAAATACAAGTTATAAATCTTTTAGTTATTTATCGATTGTTCTGCAAAAATAAGTTTTATTAAATTATTGAAAGACTCAAAGTTAAAACATTAATACCCCAATATGTTTCTTGTAGCAAAAGGTTTACGAAGAGTTTATTGATATTTTGGGACCAGATAGAAGATCTTTCCCTGATGATCTCGCAAAAATGAAATATACAGACAGGGTAATAAAGGAAACGTTGAGATTGTTTCCTGTAGCTCCATTAATAGTAAGATCGTTGCTTCAGGATATCGATGGGGGTAATGTATTTTAAAATAATATTTCTACCAAATGCTTATTATTTTCAATATATTTAGACACATATGCAAAAAAGTAAAAAATTCGCGTATATATGCACTAATTGACCCCACAATATGCATTTAATATGCATTTAATAATCAACGGATGTAATGGGAACATGCATTAAATTCACAAAAATATTTGGTTCTAAATCTATTTCTTCGACGTCTGCTACTTCCGTAAGTTTGGTAAAACCATTGTTTTTTTTAATTATTGTTTGAAATTTTTGAAAAATATCTATTCCAGTGTCACCTTTAATATTTTGACAACAGTTTTCTTTTAATAAGCTTTCTACCAAGGATAACTTTACTGATTCTAATTGAGTAAAAGTTTTTTGAAGCAAACTAAAATTTGATTTAATGAAAATTTCTGCGGAATAACGTTGTTTTTAAAAATTTGTTTAGAATCTAGCAGATATTGGGATCTTTCATACTATTATAATGTTTTTATTAATTCTTATTTATTGTTCTTATTTTAATTTACTAAAGGTTCAGTATTTATAACACTTACAAACTTAATTTATTTAAAGTTTATTTATAATAATTTATCTTACAATAATAATTTATTATTACGATCGTTACATTTAAATATCCGTCGCGAATTTCTTTTCTGACTGCCTGTTTTCTCCAAAAAGGTCCCGTTAAATACCCAATACCGTTAGACTAGAAAAGTCTATCGCCTTCTCGTCTGGTATAAAATATAAACATGTTTTTTTTTTCTAGAGTTGGGCCGCCGGCAGCATTCTTGTTACCTAGAGTATTTATTCGAATCCTTCTGGAGAGTTCGGTAGTATATGACCTAGAAAAAACGCGAAAGAATAGAATATTAGTAATAAATATGTTTACGGTTTTGGGTCAGAATTTATCGTAACACTATGTTTTTAAATCTGCGAAATAGTCTTAATAGAAAAAATGGCTTTAAACAATGTTCCTCATGGTGTTTTCAGAACGTGTTCTGGTTGGTATGGAATATTTAGAAGTATTTCGTTATAAAGTTGAATTCTTATACAAGATTTGAGGAATACATTTTTATGTTGGATATTAGGGAGTTTACAAAACGAAACTTTTTTTAAATTTCTTTCGTAACTCGCTAAACAATTAACGTGTATTGAGTTGGTATAAAATATTTTTAAATTTTGTCCCGCCTTGATCATATATAGTGCTGCATTGGATAACAAAGCAATAATTTATGGCTAAGAACAGCTACAGGAAGAAAAAAATTTGATATTTCTTCTTGTACAAAACGCGATATTGTTACAGAGTTATTTTTTTCTAAGTGCTTGCATGAAATTAAATAGAATTTTGATAATATCTGATTGCTTAGAACACCACTCATTAAATGAACGATCAATTTTCCTGACGAATCGTTGGTTTCGTCCATACACACGTAGAAGAAATTACCGCTAATATTAGTTTTAATATTACCTATTACTGACGAGTACAACAAGTTAACATGTTTTTTCTTTAGAGTCTTTTCACTTGAAATATTCAATTTAAAATATTAAAAAATAGTTTTGTTTGGATAATTTTGAAAGCAGTATATTTGAAGAGATTAACGCATGGCACAAGTCTTCGTTAAAAGTATCTTGTTCATTTGCTTCTTTCAGACTTGACCGAAAAGACTTAAAACCGAAGTTTGATATTTTCTCCAAATTTGGTTTTGTCTTTTTTGTTATATATTTTTTATAACAGCCCGAGAACGACTAAATAATAGAACGAATAAAATTAAATAAAATAAAAAAATTAGATAAAATTAAGTAAAATTAAATAAAATTAAATAAACTTAAATAAAATAAAATTATAAAAAATTATAAAGTATTATAAAAAGTGTAAAACATTATAAAAATTATAAAACTATGTAAAATAAATTAAAGTTTAATAAAATGAAATAAAATTAAATAACATTTTATAAAAATAAAAATAAATAAATAAAATTTTATAAAATTAACTTAAATTAACTAAAACAAAATCAATAAAGTGTATTATATATTTAAGAAAATTTGAAAAATACTAAAATCATAAAACAAAATTTTAAAAAACATGAATTGTTTAAATTTGAAGAACTTAAATGTGTGGTTTTATTATAAAAAATATTTACAATTCAGAGATATCAGATAAACATTTTGTTAACCTAGATAGCAATACCACAATATAAGAAGTATTCACTTCTGTGGGCACTCCGCAAGCGCCAAGTCGTTACCCAAGTTCAAAACGGAAACAACTTAAATGTAAAGTAAATGTAGTTTTAGTAAATGTAGTAAAAAGTCTAATGTAGTTTTAGTAGACGATTACAGTATAAGTGTGTTTTTTTATTTCCAACATAATTAAAATTAAATATTAGTTATGTTTCACTTTCGTCACAATCACTATCATTATTTGCTGGAATATTTTTTTGTGTTTTTTTTTGTATTTTCCTGCTCCAACAAATTTCTGTAGAAACTCCAGTATACCTTAGGAATAGCTTTGAGCTCACAAAGTTCTAGTAATCCTTTCTTAAGGTTAAATGGAATAAGAATAGGTCCGGTATAAAGTTAAGATAAACTAGGTACTGATTTATTTCTTTGAGACTTAAATTTTATATTGATTGATTTGTATTCAGCATCAGAATAAGATGTCTTGTAAAAAATAATATAAGGGTTATTTTTTTTTTTGACCATAACAATTTTAATGTCAGTGCACAGAACTTTTTCTAGTTGTTCGTTTATATTATAATTGTTTCCCAAAGAGGAAGTCAGTTTTTTTAGGTCCAGAAATTCCTCAGTCGTCATGTCTTTAATTTTATAAGGATGGCCGGTCTTTTTGGCTAATTCTATTATAGTACTTCCATTGAGCAGGCACATAAATCGGGCTGGCCTTAAGCTTTCTTTTTTTCTCCCTTTCTATTAAGGAATGCATATTGTCCCCTTCGTTTTGGCTATGCCCAGCTATTAAAAATTTGTGTGTAATGGATTCGATTTTTTTCATGAACTGCACACAGTACATTGCAATAATAAATTTATTTTTATTTTGCCCACTGCAATTATCACTGTAAAAAGTAATATCTTTCACCTGGTTCTCATTTTGCTCTTTTAGAAAATAATATACACAACTTCCTATTTCATTTGCACCTCGATGAGCAATGCTCTGGTTCCAAAAATAGCAGAAACCTTTTTTCTGTCCAATGTCATACACCGTGAGGTTATAACAAGATAAACGACTTTTATAAAAAAAAAATGTGAAACCTCTCCACAAGGTACACATTAATACAGACTGTAAGTTATAAACTGCAACTATTTGATCAGTCGAGGAAACAGTTTTTGACACACCTTCAGCTTTTTGTTTTCTACTTGCCTCTTTTTCTAATTGATGGTTTTCGTAGTTCATTTTTATATTTTCTTTCTCTTCTCCCGTAGCGGTATTAAAGCTATGACATAGGGCACATTGGTCCTTTTTTGGTTGAAAAAAAAAAACTTATATTGAATTCTGTAGAAAAAATTGTAGAGTACATGTTATACTTTCCATAAGGTTATTGTAGTATTTCACATTGTTCTTTATATAATCTGTACATAGTGGACAGGTTAAGACTTCCATCGATATATTTTTTGGCAGTTCTTGAACGACAGAAATGTGATTCTATTAAGGGAAATGAGTTTATGTGTTTCACGTATGTCGGCTTTTATCTGTGGATTAATAGCCCTTCCCATGTGTCCATGTTTGCCACGTTTATCCTTTTCCAGAAATCCATCCTGAGATTTTTTTTCGTAACGGTAAAATCATTTTTGAACTAACGTTTAGTGTACCCATAAAAATGTCTTACAAAACTACGATTTTATTTCCATTGATCAAAAATGTATAACGAAATTGTATGACCTTTTTCGTTCAGGCAGCTTTTTTTGGTATTTTGTTTTTTAACTCAGACATGTGCCTTAAAATAAACTCTTTTTGGTCATTAATATTGCACATTTTCCTAAAACTGTTGTGTATTTCTTGACGTATTTCGTTATTAATTTTTTCACTACCTTTTTTTGTTGTGAAACTTTTTCCCAGATTTCTTTTATTCTTTTCACACATTCTTCTCCTAATTGTCTAGATTTCTAGATCTTTTTTTGTGAGAACTTTCTTACTCAGTTCAGTTTCCTCAACCATTTCTTCTGTTTCAGTAACTTTTTCATGATAGTTCTTAGCTTCATTGTCACTAGAATTGGTATTTGCTCCATAAGTGTCGGGTACAATATAAACTTTATCTTTGCTATCATCACCAACACTAGAATTTATGTCCTCATCGCCATTTTCTCTCTAAAATTATAATAAAAAAAGTTAAATTATACTAAAATATTCAATTATTTTTTTTTGCTTACCGGGTAGAAAGTTGATAAGTTTAAATAGGTTTTCTCTTGGCTTTTGTCAGCAGAGTCTTCATTAACATTTTCTTTATTAATTGCAGCTGGTTCTTGAGTGTTTATCAACAAATCAAGCGCATTTTCATTACTATCTAATTCCACACTAACACTACCATTTATCTCTTCAATAATATTGCAATTTTGTACCTAAAACAAGTTAATGTAATAATGAATATGTTTTTTAACGCTTTTTAGAACAAATTCCTTACTTGGTCGTGTATAAAAATTTCTCTCGATGGAAATTCAGGTATTGCAAGGAGAACGGATGGATAGCCACTGCTGTTATTACTTTGGTCATTATATCCAACATTACCATCAATGTTAATTTCTACTACTATATTATCCGTATTAAGGTTCTTAGTAGTACCCTAAAATAATTTGAAAAACTTTTTATGTATCTCTTATCAAAACAGAATGCTACTATTATAGTTTACTACAGCTAACCGGCTTACCTCTTTCTGAAAAGTTATTTCATCCACTATTCGTTTAATGATTCATTTTCATCAATATTTTTTAGTTCGCCAACTGCCAATAATGCCATTTTTTAACTTCTACTTATAGGTAACATTGTAACACTTGTAA